TAGGAGTTCTGTAGACACAAATAATAATTGTATTAAACTTGGTAAGTTCAACCATACTGGCCTCGAAATGTTCTTCTTGATTCATGCTTTCAAACAGATTATAGGGCTTTGCTTCTAGATTTGATTTGATATAAATACACGAACCTCCATGCCGTTTATTTTTCCTACAAAATTTTGAAACAAGGGAATAGTTTTTAAAATTATAATAATCAATTTGATCTTGTCTCAACCAATGTTCAATAATGCATAAGACATCCAAATTTAATGCTTTATCAGTTAGTAAGACTTCTAAATTTAGCTTTTTGTTGTTTAAACTTTGTACGTTTTGATGAAATATTTTAATACTGGTACTTATTTTATTATTATGTTTGAGGGTGCCAGCACTATACTGATCTATAAAAAATCTTTACTTAACTTTACTGGGGGCCTCCTCCTTCTAGTTGACATGCGTACTTCCTGCTGTTGAGCTCCTGTAGATGGTGCCATACAGTTGGGAGATGGGTCTGCTGAAGTCCTGTCCTCTTGTTTCCCATGGTTTACTGCAGCCTTCTTGTGGACAGTGTCTTCTTTGTATTTTAATGGGAGAGCATTAACTACTGCTCTGAGCTTCTGTTGAACCAATTCTGCCATACAGTTGGGAGATGGGTTTGCTGAAGTAACAACAATTTATTTAACACCCATAACTGTTACACAGGCACAATTGGACAAGTCAGTTGAAAACAGCCAAACACTACATGTCAACAGCTCTTAAAAAATGCACAAAACAATATATGTACAAGACAGTGTACAATAAAATCCCTTTTTGGTCAACATCCCCATGCCATAGCTTACCAACCATAGATGACAACTGCCAGCAATTCTGTATAAAGCAATAAATATACTTAACCACCAAAACACAAGTCAGCCATGTAAAACAAAACATCACACATTTAGTTAAAATAACAGTCTAAAGACCATCTATATACTTCCGTATCATATCAAAACTAACCCAAGATACTGAACTACCATCTGTTATTGTTACTAAAAACTCTTGTAGAGAATAAAAATAGTTTTTTAATAAATAACTTTTTAATGTATTTTTAGAAACCTTAAAATCGTATATTCTTTTGAACTCAGAAGGTAAGTTATTATATATTTTTATTCCCATGTCAAATAAACTTTGTTTACAGTGAACAGTGTTGTATAATTGGACATACAAATCCTGTGTCCTTTTTGTGTTATGCTTATGAATATCAGAATATTGAGTCATATAGATCTTATTCTTTTTTACAACGCACAAGATCTCAAATATTTATAATGAAGTTACAGTTGAAATCTTAAAATCACCAAACAAACTCCTACAAGACATGCTGTTTTTAAATCCTTTAATAAGTCTTAGACTTTTTTTCTATATTTTAAATACTGGATTACTGTTATTTACTCCCCCCCCTCCAAAAAATAATATAATGCCATAATTTAGTATACAGGTACACTTACTGAGTTGCATAAGGATTTAATCAAATAAATAGCTTTGTTTAATTTTTGACAAAAGTATTGTATTTGAGTGTCGCAGCTTAAGTTTTCTGTGAACCTCTACCCTGAAATAGTATTACTTTAATCTTTTCTGTATTTATTACAAGATTATTTGTCGTCGTATCCAAGGAGTGTCTGTGGGTCTGTCTTTGTATCCTGTCATTTCATTATACTCCTTTACAGTCCACCGCTCTACCAATTGAGCTGCCAGAGGAACTTGTCCTATCATTTGATTATACTCCTTTACAGTCCACCGCTCTACCAATTAAGCTACCAGAGGAACTTATCCTGTCATTTCATTATACTCCTCTACAGTCCACCGCTCTACCAATTGAGCTTATCCCATCATTGGTGGACAGAAGATTGGAAAACCTGTTCACACAGCAACAAAGAATTGTTGGAGTCATAATTTTTTTGTGTAATCTGTGTCATTTCAAAGGAAAGTAGACTATTTGTTCTTCCAAGAACATATTGGTAAATACTACTGTACATGAATTTTAGGCTTAAAGGGTTAGACTCTCTGAAATATATAGGCAGGCCACCACATCACTNTATATTACCGCAGGAGCCGCGGCCGCGGAATTTAAATGACCACGTCTAAGAGTTAAATAACCAGCACAATTATTGTTCAAAGGAAATATTCATCTGTATGATTCACATTTTTGGGAACATGAGACTTCATTAAAATCATAATTTCTCACATGTTTCAGTATAACGATGGAAGAAGCAAAGGAAGTTCACATGAGTCTGAGAAAAGCAGCTGGTATTTTCAAACTAATTGAGTGTGATTTTAGTCCAAAATTGACTGAGAGGCAGATGGAAGCTGGAGATTTGGACCCAAGGGTGATATCTGCCTATCTTACACAGTGTACTGCAGAGGCTCAGGAAGGTAGGGTTCTTTGTTGTATGTGCATATCATATACAGTGGGCCAACTGGAGTGAGTGTGTTCACATATACATGTTTTGTATGCGTTATCTTTGCTTCAGCTAGGATGTATGTACACATACATTTGTCTTGGTTATAGGACACTCATCACTTGACTGTGATCACATAGATAACAAATTTTAGACTAAATTTCATTGCACCTAGATTCTGCAGGGTTCTGATGATGGTGTATAACACACAGAGATACTGTGAGATACCCAACAGAGTAGGTGTCTTCCCTCACCTGAGGATGAAAACAGACCCAGTTTCCGAAACGTGTCTTTTCTTAGTTATTTAGAATCCGGACAATGAACGAAGTCCGAAAACCCAGTATCTTTGTTCATTACACCTGTTTAAATTTTAGAGAACATACAAAAATCTCATTATGTGCCCATAACTAGTAAGATATCTATTATTTCTTACTGAAAACCGTCATAACACAACAATCAGTAATATGTGTAAGTAGCCTCTTGAAGGCCGAAACGTGTAGCAAAAGTATTTCCTAGAGCAAATAGATTATTGATTATTAATGTATTTGCCTGATGATGGCCTCTTGAAGGCCGAAATATGTAGCAAAAGTATCCCCTAGAGCAGTGTTCCGCAACCTTTTTCTACTCGCGGCACACTGTGAAGTATCCATGACTCAACACATGTTGTGTTATTCCCCTCAGAAATGCATGATATCAGACAATTAATATAAATATGTAACGTGATCAACTTATTAATATAATATTATTATATTGTTATTTTATTATCATTAAACAGAAATCGACTCGTGCATTTATTAACAATTAATGAACTTCAATTCACTGTAGAGTGCAGGAAATACACTTCTATTACTATTAAAGTAAATACAGTAATTCTTCTCATACCTTCAATGTGATAGTTGCGCCTGCTTAGCTGCACACAGGCGACTGATTGGTGGCGGAATCATTGACAACGCAAGTCTCATTTCTTCATCGATGGATTTGAGCCGCTCCCTCTTTGATGTCTTAATTTCAGTTAATGTTGAGAAGCCCAGTTCACACAAATATGTAGTTGAAAATGGCAATAACACATTAACTGCCATCTCGGAGATAGCCGGGTATCCACTCCTTATTGCCAACCAAAACATATCCAAAGGCACATCAAGAAGTTTTAGTTCCAATGTTCTGTCTGCTTTTAAATCTGTGAGTTCCTCTTGTATATTAATCGGAAGATGTTCTGAATTCATAACAAATGGATCGCGAACGCAGTCGAAATCTTGTACACTCTCTCCAAAATACTTATCGAATTTCTGCTGCAGCATTTCTAAATATTCTTTAATTGTGTCCATCACCACTTTATTGCCGTCAGCAAGTGGCCATACAGTCGGGGACATCTCAAAAGACGCATCTGTAATTCTCTAACTAGCAACCAAAATTTGCGAACTACTTCAGAGCACAGCTGTGATAGAACTGAAACAATTGTAAAACGTGGGATCTCTACTCTTCAAACGGAAGAAGTGACACTATACCGACTTATGTTTGAAATATTTATAATTTAAATGAAGTCCAACAATCGGTGGGTGCATCGTTACAGAAAGAAATTCATAAATTTGAAGAAGCTCTAACTTCTAACAAACGGGCAAATACCAAAACAGCATTATAAAAGACAGAAAAACCCATGCTAATCCCTGCAGTTTTAGGGAAAAGCACATACGCAGAACATGCGGCAAGCATATCAAAGAAGCTGCGTCGATGCGAGAAAAATAAAAATAAATAATTTACGTTTATACAACATTACTGTACATAAAAAATCACAGCATGTAATAGAGAATAAACAAGCTTCATCTTATTTAATCGGTGCAGTGGCTGAGAATAAAATACAAGCATATGAAACACGGTAACTGGGATAAAATAAAACGAATAAAATTTGACAATTAATTTCTTACAGTAGGTAAAAGTTGGCGTCACACCTTTCGCCTTTTGACGGCACACCAGTTGTGGAACACTGCCCTAGAGCTACTTACACATTACTGATTGTTGTGTTATGACGGTTTTCAGTAAGAAATAATATATGATACGCTGCGGGTTGCATTCACTGAAAATTAGTAAGAAATCTTTACAGATCCGAAAGATTAAGTGTTCTTGGAATAAAAAAGTATATCAAAGAGAAATTATAAAATTCAGAATGACAACAACTTGGCTCTGCTTCTTACTGCAGTGACTATGAAGAGTATGGCTTTGTGTGCTATAAAACTGTGTAGTTATGAACTACAGAGCATTAGAGTCCAGTAAACCATACTCTTCATAACACAGTATTAGTTTCCGTGATAAACTGAATACATTTTGGGTAGTTGGGTTTCAGCACCAGACACAGACTCTGATGAATCCCTTTGTTCAAGAATGAAATGGATGTGATTTTACAACATATATTTTGTCATTGTTCCTTATTATTTTATATGTTCTTTTATAATGCTATATTGTTGTAGGCTATCAGCTGCTATGAACTAATGTAGCTCAGCCAGTAGATTGGCTAGCTTTGAGCAGGATAACTGGTATTAAGTCCCCATTAGGGTAAAGGAGTTTTCTCTTTTCAGCCATAGCCTCCTATCCAGTGTGGATATCGAGAGCTCGTTCATCGGGGGGTAAATCAGAAAGAGTATGAAACTGATCTCAGACATTCATCTGATGCCAAATTATAGGGCTTTACCTCCATACCCCCATACATCTTCATGGCATGGTGCTAATTCACAGGTAGTTCATGCCATAGCTCTGGTGGTTAGTTGCCAGTTTCTCACTTGCAGGTTTAGCTCCGGGGCACTCCATATGTGAATTGTGATGAACAGAGTGATATTGAGGCAGATTTTTGTCAGGAATTTGGCTTTCCTGTGCCAGTATCATTCCACCAGTCCTCCACTCTCATCTGTCATTAGGGACTGGTACAGTTGTACCATTTGATGATGCAGTACCAAGGACATAGTCATATCCACTTGTTACAGTTAGGCACAGTTACATGCTTTCTGTATAGCAGAACACAGAAACTCGTATCAAAAGTTATGAAGTGAAAAGAAATAAATGCAGGCCTATGATTATGTTTAACATCATCAGAACAGCAAAGACACATTCCTAATAGACTGATTCTTAATAAATTCTTTGTAAATGTGATAAGTTGAAGAACTTATCTGTTGATACAGTATATGCAGTGACTGGCAGCTTCTCAAGAAGGGCTCAAATTTATAGAGTTTATTTGTTTGTTTGTTGGTCAGCTAGTCAGTCAGTCAGTCAGTCAGTCAGCGGCCTCTGTAGTCTAGGGGTAACGTTCCCACCTCATGACTCAAAGTACGCAGTTTCAAACCCGGCGGAGGTCGTGGAATTTTTAAGGGCGGAAAAATTCAGGGAACAAGTCCTCCGGGAGGGACTTTAAGCCGTGTGTCCCGTGTCGTAGATTTACAGCACGTAAAAGAACCTCATGTAGTTTCCAGTGCCTCTGGTAGATGGGGGAAGTATCAAGGTACCGAGGGCTGACCTCATTGGCTCAACGGGGCTGATAGACTGCACCAGTACAGATAGAGTATGGAGACTGGTAGAATATCAAAGGGGGACATACAATAGATCAACAGCTGGTCACGGTGCATGGGGAAACCCACCCCCTCCAATAATAATAATAATAGTCAGTCAGTCTTTACATTGCTTTATTTTCATCAGGCTAAACCAAAGTGCATGTGCTTTTGCCCACACAGTGACAGTGGCAAGGGCGATGGAACTGAAGCACAACCCAAGCCTCATATCAGCGTTGGCCAATGAGACGTTCAAGCTGTTTAGTGATGCTGCAAAAACTTTGGAGTCCCTTGGTGATGTGGCTTCACAGTGGAACAAATATCTACGCCTGAAGGCTGCTGTGTATCAGGCATATGTATGTTTTGATCATTTTTCCAAGAAATAATATAAAAAAAGCATTGAGCTTCATATCCACTGAAGGAGATTTGGAGTTCTCATTGAAAAATCTGTGATTTGATCATCTGAATAATATTTAATGAGGGATAGAAATTATGAAGTTTCTCACTATACAGTCGATCTACTGTTTGTCGGAATACCATGATAGGGAAGAAGTACACTGAAGTTTGAAACTGTTTCAAGCAGCTGCATTTGGAAATATGCCAATATAATGAATATGTGATAACTGTTGGGACTGATTTTTTCAGGCATACTGCTTTTGTGGGGAGAACTTGCTAGGTCAGGACCGGTGTGGTGAGGCAATCCGTGCATTACAAGAAAGCCAGGCCTGTGAGTAACAGTTCTGTGTTTAATGTGAATTCTGTTATAAAATACTTTTAATATAGCTTTCTTTTTCATCAGTCCCTTTAGCAGTAGCATAAAAAAAATTGTTTCCTTTGATGTAATAATTTTGAGCATCCTTCATTGAACCATAGCTCTTGCGTTTTCGTTTCATAATAACTTAGACTTTTTTTAGTTGAAATTTTGATATTCTCTCTTATAGTTTCCCAGGCTCTAGTAATATCTATCTCAGTGTCTAAGTTTTCCAAAGCTTGAAACCTGTTTCAGATTTCAACCTGATACTGCTATTTACTATGCCCCTCATTTAATTTCTTGAGATTGAAGAGCTCCATATGAAATTTGTGCATTGTTTGTTTACTCATTGCCAGTCCCTCCCTAACTCTTGCTGCCACCAGATAGTGGTCAGTATCACAAGTATCAAGTACACTTGAATGCCATCTCCTGTCTGTCAAAATACGGTCAGTTTGATTGTCAGTCTTTCCATCAGGAAATGTCAAGGTAAATTTATGTTATGTTGTGGAATTAGACAATGACAATTAGATTTTTGGATGTGGCAAAGTTTACTACTCTGTTATCATTACTAATTCCAAATTGTTGTTTTGAAAATGTCTTCCCTATGTACTTTGACATTTAAATCTCCTACAACATTTTCATATGGTATTTAGGGAATTTATTGAATACAAGTTCTGGTTCCTTGTAACAGGTCTCCTTCATACCATCAGTTTTATCCTCTGTTAGGGCATGAACGTTCACAACAATATCACACCAGCGACCTCTTCGTATTATAATACGAATTATGTATATCAGCCTATCATTAACAAGCTCTACCCTGTTAACTGCTGATATGATTTAGTTATGTGCAGAACACCTGTACATAATTCATGATTCCCATTCCCATTTTCCTTAGAAAAATGTATTTTCGCCTTCTGGTTCAGTACCAGCTCTGTCCTGTCTGACCTCCTGTACTCCCCCTAAATCTAACTCATGTTTTGACAGTTCATTCACAGCTGTCATGAGAGCACCTGCCCTGTACAGGCTTCTTACATTCTATATACCAAATCTTTTGTCCATTTTCCTCAGCTTAGGTCGTTTATCTAGAGAAACTGTCCAATTCTGAGGCCCTCTGTGACATTTCATAACAAGCTTATTTTTTTATGATAAGGGGTTAGCTCTATGCCTAACCCCCAAGCTGGAGGAAAACCCTTTGTCATCTGTCTCCAACTGCTTATTCAGTATATTTGCAGCTGCTGTCCATATAGAGGCTTGTCTCCATCCGTAACCTGAGGACATGCCGTGCCGTGGTGACAAGGGATGGAGGTTAACATGTAACAACTGAAGATTACTGTCTTTTTCTGGATGTGACACTGTGTAGTCATGTAGATAATTACTGATATTTTGTAGAAACAGACTGCCCCCATCTTAAGGCTAGAGAGTAGAAAAGAGAGGTCACTTTTCTGCATTTAAGATGGAGGCACTATTTTCCTCCAAAACATCAGTAATTATCTACCAAACTGCACAGTGCCACATCCAAAAAAGACAGTAATCTTCATGGTCACCCCCATGGGGACCTTAAATTTGACATATCTCAAGTGTTCTTATTGTCCTCTGCCCTCTTTTTGAGGTTTATCATGAGATAAAATTTTTCTTCACAGTTCAGGCTGTCATAGTTTTGAGGACATCTCTTCTCTCATTTCACTCCCATTTACATTTTAAACAGTTTATCCATTTCATTTGCTGTACCATTTGTTAACTATTTAAATCTCTTTGCCTTTAAATTTGCTAGAAATTTATCAGTTTTTACTCTGTTCCTCACTTCTTCATGCCTGTGTCCTACCCTTCCTGTTTTCTGGGTTACTCTTTGAGACCCATCTGGACATGACTGTATTTAGAAGAATGTTGCCATCTTGTAGAACAAATTCAGTGTGCTTAATGCTGAATGCACTATAGGCAATAGTATAAGTTTAGATAAGGGCATATACCCTGATTTTCAAGAAATGAGTTTTTTGGTAGCTAGGGTTTGGGAACCACTGGCTGTGATAAGGATTATAATGAGATTTTGCATATGTTGACTATTGTGTCTCCAGGCTACAAAAGATCAATAGAACTGTGCAAGGATTATGCCAAAACCAAGGGACCAGCACGTAAAATACATCCAGAGAATCATAGCTTCTTCAAGAGACTAGCACCTAAAATACAGATAATATTAGACAAATGTGAACGGGAGAATGGATTCATGTGAGTAACTTTTGTCTTTGTAGCCCTGTGAATGTATTTGTGTGAAGTGAGGTTTATAGCTCTTGTAGGTGTGCTACAGATATCACCAGAAGATTCCAGATGACCCTCCCGAGTTAGAACTGAAGGCAACATATGGACTTGTCAGCCCAAATGAAGTTCCTCTGCCCAGCCCAAGTCCACTCTGGACTCCAGTGTCCTATGCTGCCTTTGATACTCCAAAAACCAGTGCTAAGGATCTAGCAAATTCGGTATGTTTTTTAGTCATACAAACTTTATTTAATAAATTTGACAAATTCAGTATTTGTATCTGCTTGTTGCAGTTATTGCTAATATAGATAGATACCAGTCAGAATTATGAATACTAATGTCGTATCATTGAACCTTCTTTTGGGTGTACCATGTGGATGTGGGCCATGTTGCCATTAGTATGGATGAACCTGCCGCCTCCATCTTCAGCGTAGAAGAGAAAGCTGGTTGGTGAAATTAGTCCTAGATATAGGGAAGGGTAAACAGACTGGGGCTGTGAACAGTCCAGTGGGAACAGGTGGTTCTGAAAGGGGAAGGATTGGATAAAATGAAGATGTATAAGAGGAAAGATGGCTGGGCACAAAAGATTAAAATAAAATACAGTAAAAATCAAATTGAAATGAATGTGGAGAGAGTTAGAAGGGAAGGAAAGGAAATGGAAAAAGAGGAGGGGTGAAGGAGTGGGTTTCTCTGAAATGGTGCTAAGACAGCCCACATCCACAGGTGCCAGCACCCAAAAGCAAGACAGGCATCATCACTGAAACACCTGAAAGCATAAAATCATGAAGTGCATACGTAGTAGTTTGTACATATTGTGAGTATAGCTCTCATATCCCACTTGTCTGCGCAGTGTTCCATTTTTCATTGCAGTGGGAGATTTAGCTGGCTCTGTTTAAATATTTCACTGTCACTTTCGAGATTCATGGTTGTGTTGTTAATGATCATACCTTAAAGGTGTATAAGGGAAATCAAAGGAAAGCTCCATGCATTTTTAATCATGGCTGCTGTAAGGAGGAGAGTAGGCAGTTTTATGCTTCCTCCACTATATCTCTGAGGAAATAAACACAATATGGACATGATGAAGAAAAATGTCTGTCCAGTCTGTACATGTCACTTTATTGATTGAGGTATTCCAGCTCTTATTAGAAGTTTAATGTTTCTGAATAAATATATACTTTGCAATATCAAGTATTGAATATTGTCTCAGTTTATTTTACTTTTAAGTACAAAATGACATTTTGAATTTGAATTATTGGATTGAAGATCAGCCGAAATGTAGTCAAACCATGCACGGATCCAGGTGTGATTTTGTAAGGTGTGACTGCCATTGTGCAGACATTATTGTTGTTGTTGTTGTCGTTGTTGTTGTTGTTATTATTATTATTATTATTATTATTATTATTGTTGTTGTTGTTGTTGTATGCTTTATTGCAGAAAGCAGCAGCAAAGGTAGAGGGAGATTTACCACCAGTCCCAGAAGTCACCCAGCCCCAAACATCCAAGGATCCCAAGACAAGCAGTGGCTGCATTCTTCAGTAGTCGTGACTTTAATTTCAACTTAGGATGTCTGAATAAAAAAAACTTTCTCGCTTGATAGCCCCCCCCCATGATCCTGTACAGGTCTGGCCTGCTACCTGCTCGCCCATCTCTACAGACTCTTCCCCTCTCTTCTCTATTTATTTCCCATGTGGCCTACTCTCCCTCCTTTCTTATTTTTAGCTGGGTGTTTTCGATTGGTGGCTCAGTCTGCAGCCACGTGCTCACACTTCTTCCTTGCTTCTGGATTTTTCTACCCTGAAGATGCAGACAATACATTCCTACAAAACATCAGTTCACACAAGATCTACACAGGCCCACATCCCAGAAGACGGCATTCTTCAAGTGAAACCAGTTTCATTTCTCTGTAGTCACTTGGATGCTCAGTGCACAACAAGGAAGAGGGAAATACATATTTTCTCTATGGTACTGCTCTCCAGAGTGACTTTATATCGGTACTTCATATTCTTATTCCTGAGGTCATTACCAGTTACAAATATCATATGACCTCACAGCTCAGCCAGCCAGTTGTCAAATCCAACAGTAGGATGCATTCCACCAGTTAGGAACACTGTTTTAAAGCATGCATTCATGTGTGGCCTACTTTAACGTTGGTATTACTACTGAGTTAAAAACCTTCTTAAACCTTTGTCACAATTAATAACACAGGTTTTCCAGACACTATGTTGATATGTGCCATTGCTGGGCCTGTAGTAATTTGTAAAAGTAAAAAGTAAGGTTGTCCCTGTGCTTAACTAATTAAGCACTATTCCATGAAGGCATATTTGGGAGTAGTAATTTGTACAAGTGTTATTTATGTTGTTGCATGACATATTGAGAATATTGTCAATTAATGGTCACGGTATGAGCAGAAGAGGGCAGAAAATAATTTTCATTTGGCAAAAAAGCAAAAGAGAGATGTGAGAGTATGTACCACTCCAGGAAGGCCCAGGGTTCATTATATTGTCATGCCCATCCTGCATGAAGTATGGAAAACACTGTCAGAAATGGGAACAGGATGGTTTCCACCGCACTGTCATGAGTAAATGTGTCCAGTAAAACTAGCTGAAGATAGAGCTATCCCTGTAACAGGCCATGGAGGCACATAGGCTTGTGAGATGTCATGGCACGCAGACAGCAATGACATCAGCCTTACATGCTGGCCACTTAAATTCATTCATTCATTCATTTATTTCAAATTCAGTAAATCCAAAACATAGGTTGAAATACAACCCTGGATATAGAACATGTCAATAATAATATTAAAATAAGTTCCAAACATTGAAACAGTCAAGATAAACAATAAAAACGATATAAAATAGTACACAGTGTAATAACAATTTCATTAAATACAAACAGATTAAAACAAAGAATTTAAATTATCAGTAACATGAATCTTCTATATACAATTCCACCCAAAATATATTAAGTACAAAAGATTATTATGCGCTTTAGTTTCAAGATAAATATAAGCAATAAATATAACGCCTCACATACCAGTTAAATATCATATATACCTGTCACAGTCATACAATAGTCTGAAATCATTTACATAATTTAATGTAATCGTGTGTTAAAAAATAAATTATTAATAAAGTATTATAAAAATATTCATCGGGAAGTAGTTTGGTAAAATTCATCAATGCTATAAAATGCATGTTCAGTGAGATATCTTCTCAATAAAAATTTGAACTTCTTAATTTCTCCAGATGATGATTTAATATTCAAAGGTAATTTATTATACAATTTGCTTCCAGAGAACAGGACTCCTTTTTGTGCAANATATTTTAAAATTTGTTTCTAATTTTGACCCTTTCCAATAAAACTCACATCTAATAAAGTAATTATGTTGTTGAATAATTAAATAATAATATATTTTTAAAAAACTTCGTTTTTAAGAAGGGAATTATTAAAAGTGTTTTTGAGAATTTGAAAACTCTTTGAAAAATATAGTTTTCAAAATTAAAAAAAAATTCAGAAAATAAAAATTTGTGAAGTTTAAAGTTAATCTTTTTCTGAAGTTTGAAAATTTGTATTTGCAGAGGAATTTCTTCTCCATCTCCCAGTCAGCCAGCAAACAGTTTGCATTGCAGTAGATGCTGATAACTGAGTCTTGTCAGAATTAATCGATCAGACTAAAGTTAAATCACATTTTATATGTTTGTATGTAACATGGAATACATGTACTTGTGTATGATACTGTATTATCTGAATTGTCTGTATGTGTATTTGTATTTGAAACAGGAATTTTATTTAATAAGTTCATCACCCTTAGCTTAGGCTTATGAAATCTGTATAGACTTCAAATAAATTAAATTATATTCTGTCCTATCAAACCAAAATCATTCCTAATTTTGCTAATTTGCTTTTCTGCAATTGATATTGTGGATATTGTTAAAAGTAGTTATGTGAATGTACAAGATGCCATGTATAAAATTACAACACCAGTTATAATAATTACTAATTCATGACCTAAAATGGAAGCTGTATTTCAAAATTTCCCTGGATGATTTATATGACAGGACTGCAAGTGAAAGGAAGAGAACAAAGAGGTAAAGAATTATAGTTTTTTTGTTCACTGAGTATTTGCAAGGTGTAAGCAGGTAATGAAATACAAGGTTTCCTTGGAACATACATGGGCCAGTGTATTTCTAACCAAATATAATAGTAGTTCGGGTTGAGTGAAGGATTAACGCTTTGAAAATCTCTTCCCTTATTTGCTCTCTTGGCTCTCTTCAACCAAAGACATATATATGATAGTTTTTGTGCATGGTTGTAAAGAACCCTTGTAAACTTTGTGGGGGTCTATATTACTGTCAGAACCCTGCGAGAAGGAAAAGTTCAAAAAATATTTCACATTCATTCAGTTTCACCATGGCTTCTCGCAGCAAGTGTCGGCATGTTCCTACAGACCAGCTGGAAAGTGTTGTGAAGGAGATTTGTGCTGATGATGATAGTGGCGATGAAATAATGATTCCTGAATTGAATGAAGTTGATAGTGACAATAATACAGTGATAGACAATGATCCACAAGACAGTAATCATGAACATTTAGCTACCACGAGTGCGGTGCCTGACACGCCCATCTCATGGACGTACGGAGACATTGTACCAGTAATAGTTCCATTTACTAGTAGTTCCGGGATCAAAATTGATATAACACATAAAATGCACCCCTTTTCATGGATAAAATTTTTTCTGGATGATGACTTAGTAACTCACATTACAACTGAAACCAATCGCTATGCTCACCAGCACTTCAACACACATGAGTTAGCTCCTCACTCTCGAGAACACAATTACAAATATGTCACATCAGATGAAATCTGGACATACTTAGGAATTGTGTTCATGACAGGAATCGACAAACGCCCTGAAATTGAAGACTATTGGTCCACTAGGCCCCTATTTCACACTCCATGGTATGGACAAAAGATGTCTTTGCGGCGGTTCCAACAGATTTCAAAATTTCTTCATTTTGCTGACAACGATGCACGACCAGCTGACTGTGAAGATCGCCTGTATAAAGTTAGGCCAATTATAGACTCATTAGTGGGAAAATTTAGGAACACATATATCCCTGAAAAGGAAATTGCAATAGATGAAGGAATGATCGCTTGGAAAGGACGTCTTATCTTCCGAGTATATATGCCTGATAAACCTGATAAGTACGGTATAAAGGCTTATCTTGTTTGTGAATCGACAAGTGGATATATTTGGAATTTTGAAATTTATTGCGGAAAATCAAGACCTATAAAAGAATTAGTTGTCGATCTGTTGGGGCCACAGCTTCTAGATAAAGGGTATCATCTCTACCAGGATAACTATTACAATAGTGTAGAATTGTGTGAGACGTTATTACAGAGAAATACCTATGTGTGTGGAACCTTCAGAATGGACAGAGGAGCTCCCAAAGAACTAAAGAATGATGTAAAAAAATTGAAAAAAGGGGAATCTGTGTTTTCTAGGAAGGGGCAGGTTCTCGTACAGGTGTGGAGAGATAAAAGAGACGTCAAACTTATCTCCACTCTTCACACAGCAAAAATCGTGGAATCTGCAAAAACGAATCGTAAAGGAGAAAAAATATGCAGACCCGAGGTAATTGGGGACTACAATAAACATATGAGAGGGGTTGACAGAGCCGATCAAATGCTGTATTATTATCCTTGCTCCCGCAAAACTGTAAAGTGGACAAAGAAACTGGTGTTTTTCTTGTTGCAAATGGCAGCGTTGAATAGTTTCATTCTATTCAAAAAGTACACAACAACAGAAAAATACAAGAAGAGAAATTACAAATTCAAAGATTTTATATTGGACTGTGTAGAAAAAATGACAGAACAAAACAAACAGTGTGGAGAGGGAGAACAGTCAAGGAATGAAGTGGATGACGAATCTATTGCGTCAGACTCGAGTGCAGTCACGCCTCCGCCCGCGACCTTGAGAAGACCACCAGTGAAAGACCCAGAAAATCGTCTAGAGGGTGGCTTGAAAGTTCACAAAATGGTCCATGTTCCTCCCAGTAACAATAAGAAGAATGGTGCCATGAGAAAGTGTCGAGTGTGTGCTGAGCATAAGATTAGAAAAGAAACAAGTGTCATGTGTGCAAGCTGTGGTGTGGCTCTCTGCAAACTTTCATGTTTCAATGTTTATCACACGAAGAAAAACTACTAAAAAGGTATGGAAAGACATTTATTGCATAAAATATTGTATTTTTAATAGTTCCTGAAAATTTCATTTTTAAAAACCAATTTTTGTTGAAGTTGTTTAGAAAAAAGTAAGCACATGCATCTTAGCGACATAATGTTTAAAAGGCCTGCCAGGACAGGGGTGGGATTTAAATACCCTTCGCGCCAGTCAAAGAGTTAAATTGTAACATTTTTCACGTAAGCCAATGTGGTAGTTCTACTCAATAAGATGCACCGTTGGGGCTAGTAATCCTACATGCTGTATTGATTTGAGAAAATTATGTCTGCTGATTCAGTCACCACCGAACTCCACTCTCACAGCTCAATTTTTTCTTGACCATGCACTGTTAACGCTGTTAACTGAAACCCAAGGAATACAAACAATGATGGTACATATGTAAGATTTGAGGTTTTCATGGCAGCGACTATGAAGAAAGCAGTCTTCTGGGATGTGACACCGTGTAGATGTGGTGTTAACCGACGTTTCGGAGGAACGTATGGCCTCCATCTTCAGGGTAGAAGGAAAAATAAGAAAATCCTCAAGCGAAGAGAGTGAGAACTGGTGCAAGCAGACTGGACTGATGTTGGAAAGAAACTCGTCTATGTGAGAGCAGGGAAGGGGGGGACAAGTATACATGAGAAATGAGTGGAGAGGGAGAAGCTGGGTTTATATAGGATATTGTGCCGGGGGAGAGAAAGGCAAGGTTAATGGGAAGGCATTAACCCTTAAGCTGAGGGGTTGCTATGTCAGTCGGTCATGGCCTGAGTAGCCTTGTGGATCTGGGGTCACAGTCTCTTTGCTTGCGGATTTTCTTATTTTTCTTTCTACCCTGAAGATGGAGGCGATACGTTCCTCCAAAGCGTCGGTTAACACCACATGTACTCGATGTCACATCCCAGAAGACCAGGGGCGCAGAAGAGTGCTGTCTTCAACGATGGTACAGTTCCAGAACAATATCCCTGAGATCCCTGAACTGTATAATTCGAGTTATTCGAGAATGGGCACGAACATATATGCACCCTGACCTTGTGTTATCCATGACTCTGTAATGTTGTAGAATTGTAACCGTTAAATGCGTCATGTGCGATAGACGATATTCGTTCTGTTCTGAACGTTGTGAACGTGCTTTCGATCCCTTCGATTTCGATGTTCAATTATTTTAGTCGCCTCTGTAGTTTGTGGTTTGAGGTTTATGCATTATGCCTAATAGAAGCACGGGTGAAGTTGATGATGTTAACTCTTTGTCAGAAATGAAGTAATACTGATGTTCTTGATCAAGTGAAATTAATATTAAAGGGCACAATGGAGAACGATATTTTAGATGGGTTGGAAGATATAGGGTGAGTGAAAACTGTAGAAAAGTAANACATACACACACACATATACATGAGCCGGGATATCGTAGCCGGTATAGCGACTGGTTACGGACTGGACGACGGAAGGGTAAGAGTTCGAGTCCCTGTAGGGTCAAGAATTTTGTCCACGTCGTCCAGACCGGCTCCCGGGCCCCTCGCAGCCTCTTATCGAATGGGTACCGGGGGCTCTTTCATTCATGCATTCATTTCCTTTATTTTCTATATATGCATACAGGTAAGAAACCAAGGATGTGGAAATGGTCCCTTTGAAAATAGATATATCAAAATACATATACAAAATTACATGAGTCACAATCAAAACCACTTACATTAGTCAAGTAACAGAAATAATAATATAAAATAAAAAAATTAATAAGATTTTAATTAATAAACATAATTTAAAAACAACTTACTGTGAAAGTTGAATTAATACAGTTTTATTTAAATTACCCA